AATCATTGTTTTTTTCTGATGAAAATTAAAAGTGAAATGGCTATTGATTGTTCACACTTCAGGAGACCTGCTGCTTTTCTTATTGTGCATGCACACTATTCTGTCCCTCCACCAGGCCCAAGGTACAGCAGTTTTTCCTTCCCTTTCCTGATTCCTTACATTTGTCACACGCTCCTCCTAACATTTTGGTTTGGATGCTTCTTAGAATGATTTTAGCACCTTGATTCTTACATGTGTTTAAATGGTGGTGTTTGTTTTTCTTGCAGTTGTTGCAAACTTGCCCCTTGATTTTTCTGGTAATTTCACAAGCAGAATAAAAAACATACTTTTTAAAACATCCTCAGACCCCCTACTACATCTGACATTGGAAGAGTCTCTCTAATTCACTGTTTTCAATCAGTGTTTCTTCAACTAGAGAAAGGAAGGCAGCAGCTGAAATTGACAAGTTCTTTTTCTCTTTCATAAAAATAAAAACGGGGAGCTCTAGTGCAGTTTTGCGGTGCCTCATTTGCACATTTTCCTGTCCATGCCCTGTTGATTCACGCATCCTCATGATTTTTTTAATGAAAAGAAAAGATGGAAAAAGCAATGGAGAAAACAAATAAAATATACATAGATTACAACATCATCTGAACCTTCTGTAAGATTCTGTGTAAAAGACAAGGCAATATGCAGTAAAAATTAGCCTTGTCTGGAAGCATCTGCTAACTAGCAGTGTTTCTCCAGGGTCATAGGCCAAGGTCTTTAACACCTTTTACCCATTCCTATTACCTGGAGGTTTAAAGGAATGAATCTTGGACTATTACTTCAAAGCACCTCTTGAGGCTTTTCTAACAAAATACAAAATTTCGAATAAGTAGTGCTAGTTTGTGTACAGTAGCAATGGAGGATTAGAAAACAATAGTTAAAGCCAATTAAAGACTATAATAGTAATTGTTGCAAGTTGCTCCTTGTCCTTACAGCTATAGTGTGTACAACTTATGAATGTCTACAAATATCCTGGGCTTTCCAAAACCAGATACTTACCTGGAAATGTCTCTTTCCTCAGAAGGCTCAGCAGGGGCCCATGGACACTATTATTTATATAGATAGATGTGGATAGATATAATTTTACTATCGAGCTTTAAAATAGTACTGATTTATGGGAAGATGAGACATCAGTTTATCACACATGAAGAACTATAGTATCTTTCAGGCAAGTGAATTTTGCATATTGAATATTTTAAACTAACTCTATCATAATGCCATCTATTCCCTCAAAATACAAGTTAACATAATAGATAGCCTTAGTAGAGTGTGTTGATATTCTTTATTGGCTGTCAATGTTTGAATACCAGAGCAAAGTAAAAATGATAGTATTTCCGGAGAACTGCAGACTTACAAAATAATGCCTGTCTCTCTGTTAATAAATACATCCTGTTGGTTTTAATATACTGCAGTGGTGTTTTACTCATACATAATTGTGGCTTATGATCTAACAAATGATTTAGATTACCATGTTTGTAGTTCAAGTTGCAAAGAAGACAGGCTTCTGTGAATTAGTCTGCAAAATCTGAACTAAAGGATTCTGTAAAGCTAATTCAGAAAGGCAGGATAGTTTTACATGAAAACAAATGAAGGCCGCCCTTTTCTTTGAAAAGCAGCAGGAAGGTACAGCCCTGCCTCTTGTAAGTTACACATTAAATTTACAAAAATTATTCACCTAAAATATTTTCACAGCCTTTCTGTCCACAAATACTTAATGGCAGTCATTGTTGCTGTCTCTTTCCTGCAGCTGATGGGAAAACTGATCTTATAGCCTTGTCTCCATAAGTGATGCTTGCTGGGCCCAGACTGCTTACACCAAATACATGGCAGTCTGGCTACCAAAATGAGTTGGGAAGAACTGCTAATCTTTAAGAAAGATATTGTTCTTGATTGGCAGTTAACAATAAGTACTTATCTGCTTGCAACACAAGCTTAATTTCCAAATAAGTCCAATAATGGTAGTAGTTAGCACACTCTACTAATGCTACTTTAGCAAGTCTTAAATAGTCATTTCAGTTTATAATTTTTTGCCATTTCTCTGTAAAATAGATTAAATTCCACACTGACTAGAATACCTACTACTTTTAAAATTAATAAGCAATACATCCAACAATAATGGTGGTACTATACCTGTGAAAGCATCCTTGGGACTAAATTGTTGGAGAGATGTCTTTTGACCAGGTTGAGAAATGTAACATTTCAATACTTATCCTTGACTAAAGCTGGCATTGAATAGTTGGAGTCCTTACATACAAGAGTTGCTGTCATGACTAATTCTGTGCTTTGGTGCTCAAAAAATCAAAAAACCCACATAGGAATTATTCTGCAAAAGGCAGGTAGTTTCTGTCAAGGACACTCCTATGATTCTTATAGGAAGAAAGCTGTACAGATTGCACAATCTTCACAGGTCCTATAACTACAGACTACTGAAAAGTTGGGCATGCTGAAAGGTACATGCGCTTGTAAGATGGTTGAGTATAATCATAAATCTGCAGTGTTGTCTGTGAGATATGTTTGTTTTGCTTTACTAATGAGAACAAAAATGCCTTTTTTAAAATGTAAAGTACAGTGGTACCTTGGCTCATGAACACCTTGGTTCATGACCAAATCAGGTCACAAACAAAAATTTCATGAAAATGTTGATGTGGGTCGTGAACTCCACATTGGGTGGTGACCAAGATCACAGCCATCTTCCCACCCCCCCAAAGTGGGGAGATGGCCACGATTGCAGTTCCGTTCATGCAGGGAAGACGTGAGTGATCACGGGCACACTCCTGCAGGAAAGACGGACGCAATCTTGACCATCTCCCACCTCAACCAGCAGAATCGTGGCCATCCCCCCCACCCCGAGTGGGGAGATGGCCTTGATCATGCTGGGGGCAGGGAGAGATGGTCAAGATCACGCCCAATTCTCCCTCCCCCAGCACGCCCATGATTGCACCTGTCCCCCCCCCCCCCCCCGTTGGGGGGGTGGGGGGCGGGCGGGGTGGAAGGGCCCAACCCGGGTTGGGTGGGGGGGGGGGGGAGATGGCTGCACTTGTACTCGGGGTGGGGAGGGGGAAATGGCCATGATCTTTGTTGTTCTTTGTCACTCTGCTTCACATTTTTCTGATTTTTTAAAAAATGGTTACAGAATGGATTAACCTTATTTACATTGAACCCTATGGGGGAATTTAACTTGGCTCATGACCAATTTGGGTCACGACTAGAGTTCTGGAACAGATTACGTTTGTGAGCCAACGTGCCACTGAATAGCCAGACTATTTTATTTGTTGAACAAAGAAATGTTACAGTACTGTTTAATCTCTTTTAAGTGGCTAATTCATACTGTCAATTTAACTGTACAATTTAAACTAATTACTAGATAATGCATTTGCTTCATTCATAAATGTATGTTTAAAAAAACCCTGATATTTACTTTGTGCAGTGGATGTGTTTGGATGTATTTCACAGCTGTAATAATAGGCATGATTGAATCAGTAGCATAAAACTATACAGTATAAATTATGATTTGAGAGATTTTGTTTTTGAAACTGTTTTATCTTCCAAATATAATGTGAACATTCTTTATGCACTAGCTAAAAATGAGCTGGCTACAAAATTCTAAGGTTCGTTAAATTTAAAGTTTCATTATAAATGTGCTCATGAAATAGAATTTAAAACAAACAAAAAGTTTGGAACAGATAAAGATCTATTAGAAAATGGTCCATGAAAGTTACTGACGGTAGATAAACCATATTAAAGTCTATTTTACATATGCATATATATCACTGGATTTCTTTATGCTTTATAACTTGCATACTTGACAACTCATGCCCATAGGTCTGAACTGATTGCACTGAAAAACTTTATTTGAATTAAATGTGAGGTGATCCTTTCTATACTATTTGTTCTGTGGTGACACATTTACTCATGTAAGCTGTCACTTCAGGTCATAGTTTCAAGTAATAAACATGCTTCTGTGCATCAGGACCTATCTGTAGCTTTTCACATGAACCGTGCTTCAAACTTTCAGTGCACTTTTAAACTCTGGTTCCAGTGTTCGCACTTAACTTGCTAGCAGATGCCAGCAACATAAAATACATTGTTAAATGTAAAAGAAACACCATCATCACTTGTAGATTGATTCATTGCCTCTTGATAGAACTAGGGATGCATGACTGCTGACTCCAGAAAGGAGTAGGCCCCCTTGAACAGTTCATTCAAATTTTCAAAGGGTCCGATTCTTCATGCTAGCTGCTGTCCTATCTTTAAGAGTGAATAGAACTATTTTGGGAATCAGCACTGAGTGGCAAAAAGTGGTAAAAGTCCCTTTGAGAATGAGAGAGGCCATCATGCCTCTCCTGTCTCTACCACAACCATGAGGAAGATGCTACTGGTACTTCCATCATGGAATATGGAAGCTGAACTGTGGTAAACCGCATTGGCTGTTTCTGCCAAGGATCATGGAATCCAGCCCTCATTATGCCAGTAGAAAAAGATGCAGTTTGAATTATCGTTACTTTAAAAGCATTCAAAAGGGAACAGCAGAGAGTGGAGTGGGCATCAGAATCAAGGCAGAGGTCTTGTGCAAATACCTTGCTTACTTTCTCACAGCACTCCTATAGAACCCAATTTAAACTGTTTAAAGTAGTTTCACTGGTGATTTGCTATTTTCAAAATTCATATGTTCTTGATGCTTTTCGGAATTAACTTTTAGAGTTCAATGTATTCGATCAGAATCTTACCTAACTTGCATTTTAAGTTGTTATATTCTTGAAATACTGTCAGAATGGATTGTTTAATATTGGGGTCTTCTGGAAATGGACCTGAACTTGCTTATAAGCACAGGTAGAATAAAAGAAGCCCAGAAGTCTTTTGCTTCTGATATTATGCAATAGTGTGAGTGCCAATCAATACTCCACACATGTGCATGCTTGATTTTTAGTAAAGCCTTTTATGGAATCTCATGTTATGGTAATTTTTCCCCCCAGTGACTCTTAGAAGTACCATATTGCTCACTGATGTGCTGAAATCATTCTCCCAGCAGAAATATCTGCCAGGATGTTTAAAAATGAATATCAGGTAAAGTAGAAATGTTTCTAACTTTTGCTAACTTGCATATCTTCTATACAGTTGGAAAAAGAGAACAAAATACTGGAAGTGTTAATCTGTAAGTGGGAAATTGGGAAAAAAAGTCCTTTGATTTGCAAATACTCTGTATGCCAGCGATTTTTTAAGATCAAGATCCAGTAATTTTAATTTCTGTTTCCAACATTTTAAGTCCACTTTGAAGAACTGATCAGAAGTCCATCCATTTTAGTTGGCTTTGATACCATTCTTTGACTATTCTTCCTGGACTTCGCAGCCCTTCTTTTTTGGCAAACTTAGTAGACTTCTAGGAAGAGGCATTAACTTCATGCTGGTATTGGGCATGCATTCATCAGGAATTAATTCATGGTTGTTGATCACAACATGTATTTGTGGAAGTAGGGAAAGAAGGGGCTTGACATTGCATTTCATGCAAGAGTTGTTCCTATTATCTTGAATTTACCGATTTTATAAGTTGCATATTCTTTCACTTTAATTCAAAGGTAGGCAACCTTTTTGGCCCTATGCTCATATCTGGCATTTAGAGAAACTGTCCTTGGCAAGACCACAAAAAGCTGCAAATGAATGAAACCAACTGAGTTCTTAGTTTCCCAAGAAGGGGCATTCATGGGACCAGAAGATGTCAGCAGCTAGAGATTCTCACTTTGCTTTACAGGGATCTCAGCTGCCAGAAAGAAATTTTGTTTTTGAGTAGGAGGGGTAGGGCATCTCAGGGGTCTCCAGTACAAAGACTTATTAAGAACTCGGGCACCATGTTGCCTGCCTCTGCATTATGCTGTATGTAAACTGCATATTGAGTGCACAAGTTTTTCTTTCTATGGCTTGTTTTTTATTAGCGAGATGTGTTTAGAATATCTGTGTGTGGAGCAATATCTAAAGAAAAACCTGTTGTTGTTTTTTCTACTGAGCCCTTTTAGATTGAAACCTGGGCTACAAACCATTGTAAGAAGTCTGTTGGTAAAGAATTGCCTACAGACTGCAAGTTGTTTCTTGGGGTGCTAAAAGGTACCAAGTTTATTTACCAAACATTTTGGATATTCCAGACTCACTGCCACATCCAAGAGAGCATAGATATAATTCGTATAAGAACTGCTTATATAGAACCACAGATTTCAGAATTTTAAGGGAATCCTTTTTGCACATATTTGTCTGACTATTTCAGATAATTCTGGTGTCTATTTTATAATGCATGCCTTACTTATATTGATTTAGGTCTGTTGTTCATATCTATCCCCATAACACATACAAATCTTTCCTGCACCTTTAACTGCAGGTAACATCAGAGGTGGTAGTAATGATTGACTGCTGTTATGTATGTTTTTTATGATTTCAATCCATTCATGCCCCTGGATGCTTGAGTGGTAGTGGTAGGCAAGACTGCTTTTTGTCCACTTTGGCTGGCATGCCATCTGTACTCTTCTGTGGAAAGGCCAATTATGTTCAGTGTTGCCCATGGTCTTTGTCATGGTTTCTGTGCATCACACATAAGGGTGCTGTGCCTGCACAATGCCACATTCAGGAAGATTCCTTTAGCTGAGCCTAGAATTTTTTGGCAGGAGCCCCAAACCCTCACAAACTCTAGTTTTTACTTCTCTACTCTCTTCACAATGCGTATTTCTCATTACTTCTGATCTCTGATCTCCCATGTTCCCATTTTCAAAGCCCTCCTCTCCACTCTTTATCCTTCACCAAAAAAAGAGAGAGATCCTTCTATTGTTACTCCTCCTTATTCTTGCATAGCCACTCAAACCAGCATTTCAGAAGTGTGCCAAATTCAGCATTATGATGCCCTCAACCAATGGCTGTTTTTTGCATTTGTTCTGCTTGAGCAAAGAACATCGAGTGGACAAGTTTTCACACTGCCAGGCCTTCACTAGACAGGCCCTTCTTAGAATGGAGATGTGGAAGCAGACTTTTGGTGCCATGAAACATGTCAGTGGCAATGAAGGTGAAGGCTCCTCAGCCCCGAGAGAGGCCACTAAAAAGCATCCGTCAACTGGTGGTTCAGGCAAGCGAAAGCCAGTTTAAGCATCTTCCAAACCGTCCAATGCCTCCAGTGTGCCCAAAAAGCACACAGAGAAGAGAAAGTACCTCAGCTCCAAGGATCATAAAATAGCCAAGAAGCCTCATAAGGCTAAACATGGCAAAAGGGCAGAAACAAATCACTCTCTGGCCTGTTCTGAATGTCGCAGCTCACCAACTTGAGCAACCACTCCACCTTCGCTCTGCCAGCCACGCTACCAATTCAAGCCTCTCTTTGACTTCAGCCCGATTAGAGTGCACTGGGGTCCAACCCAACCCATCAGGTCCAACATTGTTTTCGGAGGGTGAGAGTCACAATTCACCAGTGCAACCTCCAGCAGCTCAGAGCTCTCATGCAAGGTCAGTGCACACTGCAATCTGACCATGGTGCCAGTACCATGGACACTTGTTCATTCCATGCTCCTTCCTCCAACCCATCACCAATTTCTGTCCATTGTTCCATCCCTGGTGTCAGACTACTGACTTACTCATATGGGGGGAACGCATACTGGGGTACATACCCCTTCCCGAGACATTACTTTCACAGCTATCTGTGGGAACACGCTGCAGACCCTCATCAGTATGCCTGGCCATCAGCTCTACCTCCGCCTCTCTCTGCAGAGCACTGGTCTCCACCAAGACCACTCCAGTGTGCTGAGTGCAAACCAGGCACTTTTCAGAGCCTCCAAAAATCACCTTCCCTGTCGATCAGATCTGACTCTTCCGATCTGATGGAGTATGACTTGGACTCCAACTCATATGCAGACTCTGTGGAAACTGTTTCCATTTCCCTGGACAACACTGTCTCCTCCCAAGGCCCTGGATCCCCAGGGGAAAGCCTTGGACATTTTTCTAAACACGTTATCTAGATGGCCACGTCCAGAACATTTTCAAGTGGCATTGCTTCCTACCACTACTCTACCTTGTACTCTACCAAATGAACACAAGTTAGGGGATATGTGAGGGATCAATCCTTCATCCACTGCAGCAATTCAAGGGATATTGGAATTCCTGCACTATCTACTTCAAAGAGGACTTAAACTAACCTCTATCAAAGTGTGCTTAGCCTCAATCTCCACCTTCCAAGATCCACTCACAACTATGGATCTGTGCCTCATTTCTTAGAAGGTCTCTTTCCTGGTGGCAATTACCTCGGCTCACAGGGCAAACAAACTCTGTGCACTACGGATAGATCCTCCATATTTGATCTTTCATAAAGAAAAAGTTGTCCTCCACACCAATCCATCCTTCCTTCGTAAAGTAAAATGTTTGTTCCATGTCCATCAAGAAATAGTGCTTCCAGCATTTTACTTGACACCATTTATGGACATAGAAAAGGCTCTACATACGCACTGCATTTGTCACGCACTAGCCTTCTATCAGTCCTGAACCAAGTTGGTTTGCAAAAAAAAGTGACTGTTCATCAAATATGTGGACCACTCCAAAGGAGAACCGGCCAGGTACCAGCGTCTCACCTACTGGGTTGTAGAGACAATTAAATTAGCATACCAGCTAGTGGACCACTTGAAGAACAAAAGTTACAGGTATGCAGCCTGACTTTTTGGTAACTTCCAGATTGGATCACCAGAAATATCAGTTAGTTTGTGACTCTTTCAGAAACATCACCTAGTTTGTGATTCTGCAGCTAAAGTAGTAACAAAAATTTGGCTTATGGAGCTCCTTGTGTCCATATTTATACCATTTTTATTGGCTCCCTGTTTCCTTCAAGATCCAGTTCAGAACATAAATTACATTGGTTGATGGTTGGACTGATTAAGTGTAAAAATAAACATACGGCTTTTCTTGAGGACAATTTCTAAGTGTTTAAGAACTAGCATTAAACATAATCTAAAGATGACTGATGGAAAAAACTATAGAAACAAATGCATAATGGTGAAAATACATGCAAAGCTACATTAGCACAAGAAACAAAAATATAAGCTACAAAGTGGCTTCTGAAAAACCCTTTACTTGTGAGAAAAAAGAGCAGCAACAGTGCTATGTGGGCTTCATTCCTCAACAGTGATGCCATTAACAAAAGGGCCTTTTCTCTTGTACCCACCTGCCACATCTCAGATAGCAGAGAACATGGACCAGTCTTCTGCTGGGGAGCTGAATGTAAGGGAGGGTACCTAGCAGAAGATGGGGTCCTTAAGAGAACCAGTTTCCAGACAGGAAGAACTTTATAGGTAAGAATTATCTTGAACTGGTCCTAGAAAGAAAGAAATAGCCAAGGAAGATTAGTCAGCTCCAGTTAAATTTTTGGTCTCAACATTTTGGAGCTTCTGATTTCTTTTCAAGTGCCCTATCATATAGTTTCCATTGCATTGTTCTAATCTGGAAATAACTAAAGTATGAATGCCAGGCCCATCTACTTTAGAAAAGGAAACAGCTGGAAAAAGCTAGTAAAAACATTCAGGTGAATCAAGTTCATGACTGTTGCTGTGTGAGTTTCAAATAAATACTCCTGTGGTTCTGGTATTATAAGTGAAAGTAAACACAGTTGCAAAAGTAAATGAGTTGGACAGATCCTTCTTTGTTTTATTGCAGGGTGGCCCATTTGTTGAAATCTTCAGTGCTCAGGGCAAGAATCCGGGAACAAACTGGAAGGTTTTTGGCAGTCCATCGGTGATTGGGAAAGTATGTTTTATGGAGGAATAATAAGACCTTGGGATACAAACCACATAAAATGTACACGAAGCTTACAATTAGAATGTAATAAGGGCTTTGACCTGACTGTGGAAAAGTTGTCACTTTCTCTTCTTTAACCATGACAGAATAAATGACCACAGGAGTTAGCAGTCCATGCCTGCTTGCAAATGAGATTAGTTACAGCTGTAGTTTTACATCTAAAAAAAATCTGAATGAAGGAAGCCTAGAATAGCTTAGCTTTTCTGATTACCATTGGATCAAGCCCAAGCACAGTGGCTTCTACATTGTGTATGCTACTGTATGACACATTTATAAATACAAATTTTCAAAGACACTGGCAACTTATGCTATAGCCAGTATTTCCATGTTGCATTCCAGACCATGGGCATTATTCCTGTTCTCCAAATGGGAAAATTCTGACTTTATCTGGTAGTTTTGGCTCGTTTTACAAATGACTTTTTTCCTCTTGGTTAATTTGTTCTGCTAATTTCTAGGCAAGTTCTAATCCCCACTTTCAAGTTCACTGGGTGACTTTGGGCCAGTCACAAACTCTAAGCCCAACCTACTTCGCAGGGTTGTTGTGAGAATTCTTCACAAGAAGAAAAAAGTGTAGTAATAGTAGTAGTACAGTGGTACCTTGGCTCACGAACTTAATCCGTTCCAGGACTCTGGTCATGCCCAAATTGGTCATGAGCCAAGTTAAATTTCCCCATAAGTTTCAATGTACATAAGGTTAATCCGTTCTGTAACCATTTTTTAAATCACTTGTGGGGGGGGGGGATGGCCGCGATCGCAGTTCCATTCGTGCAGGGAAGGCGTGCCTGATTAGAGGTGTGCTCCTGCAGGAAAGACGGGCACAATCTCAGTCATCCCCCCCCCCCACGGCTCTGCTCTGCTGCTTCCGTCTTTCCTGCAGCAGTGCGCCTCTGATCACGCACGCCTTCCCTGCACAAAAGCAACTGCAATCATGGTCATCTCTCCACTCGGGGGTGGGGGGAGATGGCTGCGATCTTGGTTGCCACCCAAAGCAGTGTTCGCGACCCAAGTAAAAATTTTTCAGAAATTTTTGTTGGTGACTCAATTTGTTCGTGAACCAGGACGTTTTGAGCCAAGGTACCACTGTAGTAGTATTTACTATTATATCCCACATTTCAGTATTCACAGAGCCCACCAGGTGACTCCCAAAATTAAATAACTGTTAAACTTTGCCAGTAACCTTAGATCTCAACCAAATGCCTTCTCAGTCATCTTTAGTGAGGCAAGCACTGAATGTCACCAACAAACTCTGCTATTCTTTGCCCACAACAGTTAATAGCTGTTCAGTTGCATTGGTTGCATTAAGGATGATATACTCTTTGCTGATTTTCTAGGAGTTTGATAAGGAGGTGAAAGGCTTTGTCTTTGTTCTGGAAGGAAGTAGTCAAACAAACAAGATGCAGCTTCCTAAGGAAACAAGGCAAAATCGTAAGTACAAAAGTATACTATATGCATATAAATGTGCACATGTAATATAGAATCATAGAACTGGAAGGGGTCAGAAGGCCATAGTGTCCAACCCTGTGCTATTGTGTGACACTAAGTTACACCATCCCATTCAAATAATTGTCCAGATATTGTTTGAATGTTTCTAGTGAGGGAGAGCCTACAACTTTCTCACATAATAGGTTCTGTTGTAATGCTGCTCTGACAGTGAAGAAATTCTTCCTGGTGTATAGTCTAAATCTGGTATCTTTTAACTTAATGTTGTTATTCTGTGTCCTGCACTCTGGAATGAACAAGAAGAGATCTTGTCCTTCTTCTCTGTGACAGTCTTTCAGGTACTTGTAGAATGCTATCTCCCCTCAGCCTTCTCTTCTTAAGGCTGAACATGCCTAGTTCTTTCTTCAGAGAACTTTGCCACCTGTCCCTGAATCATCCTTCTTGCCCTCCTCTGTATCTTTTCTAGCTTTTCTGCATTTTTTTAAACTTAGATGCCCAGAACTGGACACAGTACCCTAGTTGAGGTCTGACTTGTGTTGAGTATAATGGAACTAGTTTTGGAGGTGATACTTCTGTTAATGCAGCCCAAAATAGCATTTCCCTTTTTGCAGCTGCATCACATTTTTGGCTCATATTTAGGTGGTGAACTGCAACCCCAAGATCCTTCTCATTTGCAGTATGGTTGAACCAAGTATTCCCCATTTTGTAGCAATGCATCTGGTTTCTCTTTACTAAGTGGAGGACTTGATGTTTGTTCCTACTGAATTTCATTCTGTGTTCTCTGCCGGAAGTTCTAACGTATTGAGATAACCCTATATCTTATCTCTGTCTTCCAGGATAATTGCTATTCCACAGTTTTTTGTCATCTGCAAATTTGATTATCTTTCCTTGTACTTCCTCATCTAAATCATTAATTAAAAAGTTGCGGAGTACCAGTCCCAGGATAGAACCCTGTGGCACCCCCCTTGTCTCCTTTCCCCAGTATGCATATGTGCCATTGAATGTGCCAGTGTATGCATTCTCTGAGTCCGATTTTGCAGTCAATTGTAGATCCACCTAATGGTTGTACAAGTGAGCACACTTTTTGCTAGTTTGGTAATCAGGATGTTGTGGGACAGTTTGTCAAAGGCTTTGCTAAAGTCCGGATAGATTATGTCCACAGCATTCCCACAGTCCATTTGGGAGTTTACCCAGTCAAAAAATGAAATCAGATTAGTCTGGCAGGATTTTTTCTTGAGAAATCCATGTTGGCTTCTAGCAATTACTGCATTGTCTTCAAGGTGTTTGCAGACTGTTCATTTTATAATTTGCTCTAGAATTTTTCCAGGGATTGATGCCAGACTAACTGATCTATAGTTCCTAGGTTCATATTTTGTTCACAGGGACAACATTAGCCCTTCTCAAGTCATCTGGCACTTCTGTCTTCCATGAATTCTCAAAGATGATAGGTAGTGGTTCTGAGAGTTTTTCCACTAGATCTTTTATGACTCTGGGATAAAGTTCATCTGGCCTTGAAGATTTGAACTCATTTAGCCCAATTAGAAGATCCTTGACTATTTGCCTGTTGCTTCCAACCTGCCCCCTTCATCTTATACTATACTTTGTCAGGGAGGTTGTAGCTCTTTTGGGAGAAGAGTGAGCCAAAGTAGGAGCTGAGCACTTCTGTCTTTTCATTGTAATCTGTTATCATTGTTTCATCCACATTGTTTGAACTCTCTTCTCTTTTGTCTTGTCTTTTGCTTTGGATCTATTTGAAGAAGGCTTTTTTGTTGTCTTTAGCTCTCCTTGCTAGCCTCAGTTCGTTCATTACTTTAGCCTTCCTGACATCATCCCTGCAGTTCCTAGCCTGACCTTCCTTCCACCTCCTGTACATGCCCTTTTTTGTTTTCAGATCATCTCTTAGCATTTTGTGAAGCCACATGAGCTTTCTTTGTTATCTACTACTCTTTTTTCTTGTTGGAATTGCATTTAAGCATTTCATTTTTAAAGATATCCCACCCATCTTGGGCTCCTTTACCCTTCAGAGTAGATTGCCATGGGACTTTGTTTATCATTGCCCTGAATTTGTTAAAGTTGGCTTTTTTGAAATCCAGACTCCATGTTTGGCTACATTTAGTTTTAAGTTCCTTTATTATTGAGAATTCAAGTAAGGCATGTTCACTTTCCGCCAGAGTTCCCATAGTTGTTATTTTGTCCACTGTGTCTTCCCCTGTTGGTTAGTATCAGATCCATTAAAGCTGTGCCTCTTACTTCTGCTTCTGCTTTCTGCTAGAGGAACACATGTTAGGATTCTCTTAGAGGGATTGTGTTTGGCAGAGTTTGAATACCAACAGATAGTACAGAAATTGAAGTTTCCCAGGAAATTGAAGTCCATACATGCATTTGTTTAATAAAATGCCATTTGCATCAATTGGACCAGAGTTGAACAATAATTATAAAGTCCGGCTGGTTTTTAAGTGCTACTTAGAGTTCTGTTTACCCTGATATTTTAATCGATTCTTTCCTTTACTTTTTGCTCTTCTGCACTGCACTAGTATAGAGAATATTGTATGGTACTTAGATGAGGGAAAGCCAAGTTTGACTCCTCATGTGGGTGCATAGTAAACCAGGTGGCTTCCAACACAACCTGCCTCATAGTGTTGTTGTTAGGATAAAATGGTGGGGGGTATTCCTGTATGGTATCCTGAACTCCTTGGAAGAAAGGTGGGATGATACTGTAAAAAAATATGTACTTGGCAAGTGACTCTGAGTCTGAGAAGTCCCTTCCTATTGAAGCAAATGTTTCGCTTTACAAAGTGTTTCTTTTCTAAGGGGCCAGATGTTTTCCTTCCCTGTTGTCAAGTCAGTAACAGGCCATATGTGAACTTTGTCAGATTGCATAGGCCCACTAAAGATGACAGATAACCCCAGTGTATGTAGTGATGTGGGTCTTTAATCTCTTTCAGTGCATCCTGTAAAAAGACCTGCAATCCTCTGTTTTTGGTATTGTGAGGTTTGCATTTATAGTGAGAAATGTAACACATAACCTCCTGTTTTTAATTAAGGCTATGAGATTACCAAGGCTTGAGCACTGTTGAGGAAAGCTTATGTATGAGAGTCACTTTTCTCACAACCTTCCATCTCTTAGATCATGACTTGATCTGGGTGAAAAAACTGTCAGATGTTAGCCTTCACCAAGGACCCTTCCCAAAGACTGTTTGATAGCTCAGCAGATGCACAAATTGTTTATTGTATAGAATCTGGTGCCTTTCCTCAAGGAAAATGCTTGTGTTTCAGCATCTCACTGTTGAGCAGTGTTGCATATTTTTGTCTCTAGAGAGTCCCTGCAGTTTAGCATGCAAACAGGGTACTTCCTGATTTGAATATCTAGATAGCTCCTGGCAGCATCAGTGGCCTCACCAATGATTAGCAGTATACCACCACTTCTTCGTCGTGGCCTCTGTGCATCACACATATGTGTGCTGCGCCTGCTCAGTGCCTAAGGCCAAAAGATTGAAAGCTAACAGTTTTTGGCAGGAAACTCTGCTCCCCTCCCCTTCAATAATATATATAGAGCAGAGTGTCCGCCATTTTACTCAGCCTTTGCGACCGCCGTTCACTGTGCCTCGTGCCACTATCGCTCTCGCTTGGATTTTTGCTACTTACCTAGTTTGTTCATTCTTCCCTTATTCCAAGTTCTTATATTCCAAGTTCTCTAGTTCTCCTTTCGACACTATCTCTCTTGTTCTAAAAAAAAAAACAAAACAAAACCAAAAATATTATCTATTCCCTCTGCACTATCCTCTTCTTTTCCTTTTCACAATGGCACAGCGAGCGGCCTTCCACAAATGTGTGGAGTGCGGGTCCAAGATGTCCCCGGTGGACCCACACGACCTGTGCCTCCTTTGTTTAGGTGAGGGGCACAGGACGGATAAATGTGGCCATTGTTTGGCATTTACTAAGCAGGCCCGGTAGAATAGGGAAAACCACCTGCAGAAGCTACTTTGGGACCAAGCTCTCATGCAATCAGATCAGCTGGTTGCGGAGTCAGCTTCCGCCTCAGCCACCCTTGCCCGGCGTCCGGCTCCTGCTTCGGCTGCGCCCTTGCAACGCCCTGCTCCTGCCTCTGCCTTTGGCACTGCGCAGGCGCAGCACCCATATGTGTGAATGCACAGATGGCCACTCGAAGAACATCAGTTACAGGTAAGCAACCTGCTTTTCCAGTATACATGCCTTCTTAAGGTCCTGTTGCTGGTATGGGCCCTTCAAAGAAGGGGGTTTTAACAAGGTGTAGAATGGACTGCTGTCAAAGCAAGATCTGGAAAAGAGTGCGATATATGCTGACTCAACAGGAGGTATTTAATCTTAAATTCCTGGCATAGTTGTCCAGGTGAAACTGACAAGAACTTTCTCCAGAACTTGTCTTGATGAGATTAGTCAGTTTTACCTCTCTTTCTCCCGCAACCCCCCAAAAATTTTGGATCTGTGGTACCAGGGTTTTAAAACTTTTCCTCTTGGCTATTTTTCTACTGCTAATCTTCCCCACCCTGCGTCCCCCAGATACACATACTGTTCCTTGTAAGCTAGATTAATCTGATAATAATTATAATGACTGGCTGAAGGGCACCTGCCAAATTTTTAAGCAGTCTGGCAATTTTATCTTAGATAGCTGTCTTCACAATCTGACACCCTTAAGATCACCATACTGTCTTCAACAGTCAGTCAAACAGTTATGTCAAACCATAGTTCACAAGTCTTCTGTATCATGCCATAGCTGGCATTGTGTCTTTACCTTGAAAGCAGAGTGTCTGAGTAAAAGCAAATTGACTTCTGTTTGTCCTTAAATTCAGCACTGATGAACCAGTCATCGCTTCCATCACTGAAGATTCGGAGGCATAGTGAGCATAGCATAGCTTCCAAGCATGTTGAATTCTAGCATTTTGCATTCTGAGTGCTGAGAACTTGTGAACTAAGGTATGTTCTGAAAGAAGGACAATGTAGAGTAG